GCCAACTCCACTGCCATACATTTAGTGAACATATTAATGGCACACTTTGACATACTTACAGGTGATATACCTATACCCTGAAAAATAAACCATAAATAAGATACTATAATAGATTACTATCGAATAATATGTAAATAATTTAATACCGGTTTAATGGCCCCAACACTCGATATGTTAATTATATTGCCATTAGTTTTGGCCAAATGTTTGACCGCTAATTGTGTCAACAGTATGACTACATTGAGATTCACGTCAAACATAGCCTTTTGCTTCTCAATATAATCCGGGTCCATTATATTAGCCATAACCATATACCCGGCGCAGTTGACCAATACATCTAACTGTCCATAGGCTTCAATAGTGGTGTCAATGACTTTCCTGACGTCGGACTCGCGCCGGAAGTCTACGACCACTTCGAGTGCCGACAAACCCGACGGCGAGACTCGCGCGCACTCGTCAGCCACTGAACGCACTTCAGCGCCGTCCAGACCGTTGACCACAACGCGAGCACCGCTTCTGGACATAAGTATGGCTATTGAGGCACCGATACCTGAACTCGAGCCCGTGATTAGGGCTACCTTTCCCGCGAAGTTATAACTTATAGACATGTTATAAAAAATTTAATATTTTATGCTTAGTTTGAATATTAAATAACTTTTTAAATAATAATATTATAATCATGGTATTATTATTATGTAGAGTGACCAGCACATTATTTAGTATTTTAGTTGCTAACCAAGTAGATGTGTGTTTCTCAATATACAGGGTTTTCACTTTGTTTTAACCCATCGGTTATGAGCTAATTATTATCAAACAATAGATAAAACTTTTTATTTATTAATATCATTTTATTCAGGAATAAGTAATGAAGCGATTGATACCAATAAGTACGCAAAATATCATCAGTAATATCAATATAATATTTGATTTCATTTATGTTAATGTTGGCCATAACTAGTATCTCCTGTACACGAAATGTGAAATAATATTCATTTCATGTTTTTTTGCGAAACCCTTTTAGATGACAGTCACTGACTTATCGACTTCTCCCGTAAGTCTCGTCTACCGCTAGTATTGTCAATACAAACACCCTCTCAGTCGGTGTCCATTGAAAGGGTTTTACATAAAAATCAAGAAATGAATATTTTCTGTACATTTCATGTAAAGGAGATAATAGTTATTGTCAATATTAAACATAACACTACATCTAAAACACTAACAAACTGTAAGGTTTGAGCTAACTATAGATACACACAGTATTGGACACAGTAAGAGACAAATTGTATTAGTGGGCTGTTTGGTCTAGTTGGTTAAGATACCAGACATTTAATCTGGTGACTAGGGCTGCCAACTATTTTCTTGACCTGGGAGGACAAATAGTCAAAATTGAGCCTGTTCAGGACAAAAATTTTAAAAATGTTTAATTATTAATATTTCTATATATTTATACTCTTAATAGCTACACTATCATTTAAGCTTAATTACAATTCAAATACAATACACTATTTGTTGCGTTCCTAGACATTTGCCCGAAAATAAAACGTAAGTATTAATGAAATAGTATATATACTGTGATCAGTTATAAACAAACTATTTCTTTCCTTAATTAAAAATACTAAATATTAATCAATTTTAACAAAAAATATACCAAAATGTTCAGGGATAATGAAATTTTTATATCTGTATTA